TTTTTTATTTCAGGAATATGAGCTGGTGGTGTTGGTTTAGGCTTAGGTGCTGCTGGTTCATTTGTTGTTGCTAGTGCAGGAGTTTTGAAAAATGATGTAATCGATTTTTGATTTTTATTACTTTTCGACATGACCTTTTAATAAGATTAATCTTAAAGTATTAAAATAAAAATAAACGTAAGCGACTTGGTACAAACTAAAATCCGGGCTCATTCAAAAATAAAAATAAAAAAATAAAGATAGCTACTGCTAAAGCGATCACAAAGAAAAATCGATGTGAAGCTAGCACGAACACGACGCATTACCACCACGAACAGCGATACTGTTTGGTTGGCAATGATTTAAACCAATAAAAATTGAGAATTACAGAAAACATCATTATGGAGAAAACATTTTTGGACATGGCTTCTATTAGCAACGAGTTTATTTAATAGCTAGAACTGTCAAATGTTTCAAAAAAGGATCAATACCGAATGCGCATGATCCATTGACTTTTTTCTATAATAAATGTTTTGCTTTAAACGTCTAGAACCTATGAACTTTGATTTTTTACTCTTGATAAAAAGAATTAATATTTTAGGAGCAGTAGTATTTGAAATAAAAAATAGAATATCATCTATTACATTATGATTATGATAAGTCAACTATTATTGTATAGGCAATGACCAAATATCAATTGCACATTGAAATAATAATTATCTAGAAAATAAAAATAAAATCATTTGAGCACTTATATTTGATTTATCAACACTAACTATCTTTTCTGAAACTTCTATATTAGACAATAAAAAAAATATCCATTGAGCATCTACATGGTTTCACTGTTTTTGAAACTTGTTCAAGCTTTACATTAAATAAGAAAAAAATTAAATATCTTCGATAATACATTGAATGTTCTTTATCTACAAAAATAAATCAAATTCCAGCATTAAAACAATAATGAGAAGCTCAAATTTAAAATAAAAATTGAAAAGTTGATTATTCAAAAAATAATATATAGCTTTTTTATACTTCTTTTTGAAACAGCTAGCTTTAAATAGACCACTTTCATCTTCAAGGATACATATGCATATTTTCATTAAACTAGATGATAGAAAAAAATTGGCATGTTGATCAAATAATAAATCATTTAAAAATAAAGATACTATGTATATGGCTTGATAATTCTTGAAGAAACAAAAACTATTTGAATTAATTTAAAAACATTTCTGACATACTTTATTTCTTGTTTCAACTGTGAGCCATTTTGGCATGTCTGTAATATAAGACCACGTATCACAATCAAGATTGGTATTATTTTTTCGAATGATAAAATGTCTCATTTCCTTTTTCTTTTATAAAAGTAAATTCTTTCATTAAAAGGTTGATTTCTTTCTTAATACAGAATAAACATTATTTAAATGTAAAAAGAAAAATAATCAACGTAGCTTGAATTTATTTTATTTAGTCTTATTATTATTATAAATTCATAGCATCATGTATCACTGAAAATTGAATAAATAAATATGATTGCATTTTATATTACTCATTTTTTTCTTTCTGAATGATGTCATAAGTTTTTGAAAAGATAGTTAGTGTTGATAAATCAAATATAAGTGCTCAAATGATTTTATTTTTATTTTCTAGATAATTATTATNAAAATCATAATTATCTAGAATATATTCGAAAGTCACATCGGTTTGTTCAGTTTGTAATGCTGATTCAGAATATGGTATTAGTTTTAATTTAATCTATGTTTTTCTAACTAAAATTCCCAAAATACTATTAAGCAATATCAGTTGATTTCACTTCAGAGATCCCTGTTTTCAGTCAAAAGACATCGATTCAATGATAAGAATATTCCCAAAACACGAGTTCTACAATTCTAGAATATTTTCGACTTGATTATCGCTTGAAAATAAAAATCAGTTATTCCTTTATTTTTGCTTTATTTTCTAAAGATAAATGATTTCTTTATCTTTACTTTCTAAAACTAAATAATTCATATCTTTAGAAAATAAAGTTTAATGATTGAAAAAAAATTATCATTTATTTTCTAAAGATAAATGAATCATTTATCTTTATTTAGTAAAGTAACACTAAATGACCACCCCTAATTTCTACTGTATTTATTGCTTCATTAATCTATATAAGATTCAAAATCAATGAGAACGAGAGATATTAAAATCTCATATATAGATAAAGCGATCCTAACAGAAAAATACAACAAAAATATTAAAACTAACTATGCTAAAAAGAATTGGGATGAATGTATTCAAAAATGAGAAATTGTATATTCTCTTAAATCACAGTAAAAATTTGTGTATACATATTTACTTTTAAATTTTATATTGTAAAACGATTTCCAAGGTTGAATTGTGTTTGTCAAATATGTATCGGATAGAAAGATCTAATAATCCATATAACTCTTCAGTATTATTGAACGAATGATTATGTCTATCAATGCATTCGATTCTTCTTTATCTATTGCTACGTACACTTATTAGGAACAGAACATTTATTTATCAGGGGAAGAAGTATGGAGAAATGATCAAATAATATGGAAATCTGTAATTGATGCAAATTTTATTCGTCACTATTGCTTACCTGATAAAATAATTAATTTAATTGATTCTTATTTTTATATTCTTTCGAAACGTCAATTATCTTTAAGTGATATTGAAAAAATAACAAGTTCATTTAAAATGAATTTTTTTTTTTTTATTAAACATCAATGGGCAAATGTTAAATGTTTTTATGATGGAAGTAAATCGTATCAACATTTATTTTCTTCTACACAAAGTAAATCTCAATGTTTGCATATGTTAAAGTAAACTATTGTATAATCATAAAATATCATAATATCTTTATTTGTTTATTTAGTAAATATCCATGTATAGATCGTTGGTCAAATATTCGATGTATTCAACTGAATTTTCATCCATCACTTTATTTATTTCTCGAACAACTCGATGGATTATGTCCTAATGTCTCTTCTATCATGATTCGTACAGGTAGACCTATTTATCTTCATAATTTTCTAAGGAATTTTAATCAAATATATGAATCAAACAATAAACAAGGAATAAGTTTCAACGAATATTAGAAAATTTACCGTCATTCTGAAGGTTGTCTTCTTTGGAAATACTATTGAGGATACCGATGCTTCTCTCCCGTCTCGCTATTATTTTTATGTGCTCTAAAGATAGACTGAATATTTGATCTTTCGATCTATGCTTGAATGAGCACAGTCCGATCTGCCGTTATTTTTTGTTTGATTTTTACGGCATGCTACCGTATGTCAAAAATTTTATTTTTGATACGATTATCAGATTCGGCTTAGCAGACTACTATGGAGTCGTTAAAAAACGAGCTTTCAGCATGTCTCTGAAATGAGATCACTTCTCAAACTTATTTTGTGTTTTTCTCGAAACTATGCTTTTAGGCAAGACTGCCAATCCTGCCCAGTAAAAGGCACCCTTAACCTTACCCGATCGGGCTGAAATTTTTATCATAAGAGGTAGAATCAACCGTTTCGAATTCTAACCTTTCCATCAGGGTTTATAGGTTCTTGAAAGAGGAGATTCGATCCTGACCAAGTATTTTCACATATTTTTTCAATAAAAAAAAGTGAGCGAGATTTTTGAAAAAGCTCAAAGCTACCTCTGATAATAGTGTTTTCCCTTGACAAGATGAAAAACTAAGTAGTTTTTAAAAAAAACCGTCAAAGACCCCTGGAAAACATTTTTCCTCGAACACGAGTCTGATCATTTTAGGTGTTCTTTTTGTGGTAAAAATTTCGGCTCCATCGATCAAATCATTTTCGAGATCTGAAAATCATCAAAAAGAGGGCGGTACACTTAATCTATTGAGTTGTAAAGTTTTTTGTATATGACATTTGAAATTAGTTCGTTTATTTAAACTAACTAGACATAAAAAATAAAAATATGTTTTGGATAAAATATTTTTATTTTATTTTTTATTTTTTAAATTAAATCCTATTTGCCAGCATTTATTTTATTGTTATTATTTGTCTCAATGTAATTAAATTACTGTAACTGACGTGAGAGGAGGTAGAATAGTGAACACTCTAGTTGTATATATGTAGACACGCCTTTTCGTGTATTGATCAGTTCAAATAAGTATTCTGATAGTCTAAATTCTTCCAAATTCTATTATCAGTACTTTTAATAATGTATTCATTGAAAAAAATCTCTTGTTTGATTTAGTAGAATACATAAAAATATAGAAAAAGACAAGTTTAAATAAGATAAAAGGTTAAGTGTATTATGTGCTTGAAAATTCATTTTAACTTTTAACAAGGAAGTCGGAAAATATCGAGATGGATATCAGTGTCCGACACGGGTCGGGTCACAAAAGGTTTACGAATTTCGAACTTCATATAACAAACGCAGCAAAGAGGAGATAATGATTCCTTTATTTCGGATATCTAGAAAATATGCATCGATTTACTCAGAAGATCGTCGATGTCTGAAAACGAACTCACTTTGATTGACCAAAAACTATCCCTTACCTCGGGTCGGGCTATTGAAAAACTTTTGAGCCCCAGTCGGGTTACAAAAAAAGTTACCTGTGTCGGACGCCGACAGGTGTTAATTCCCCCTGTGTTATTATTATCCATGCTACAACTAAAGATAATAATGGAGAGTAACGTTAGAACAGTGAATACTACAGAGAAACTCGAAACAGGCAGATTTAAGAGTCAGCAACCATTTCATATCTATCAGAATTCAATAGAACGTTTTTGAGACGAAAGATTGACACATTCTTTATTTGTCATGCACTTTATCACTTCTTTCTACGATTCACCATCAATCATTATTATCAATAAATCTAAATATATCCTTCTTACAATTTCTATAACCATTTTTGATATTTGTTTCAATGTTAATATTTCAGCAAACGCTTTTCATTTATATTCTTATATACCAGTATCAGCTTGAACATTTATTAGATTTATACTAAACAGTTGAGCATCATACAATATTCAAAGCTAATTTGATCCAGAAAGGTTGTACACGAGTTCATGTTGGACTCATATTAATAGAAGTATGTACTTAAATTCCAGCACTTCAGTCGACGTCTTGAAAAAATATTTGTAATTTTCATAAGTTAGAAAAAGAATGGCGGTTAAAAAGAACTGAATAATTATTTAGTTGTTCAGTTGCTCCAGAGAGGAGATGATTCGGAAATAACCTGCAAGTGGAATATCGGTTTCACATATTATTTTTACTGAAATTGTGTTTATTGAAAAAAGTTCTTTTTAAATAGAAAACTACATCGATCAATCAATAATTATAAAGTCTTTAACAATACCATTTGAAATAGGACAAAGCAATTTAAATGATATTCGATTGGAAAATGTTACAAAACTTCAATTTGGAGGTTGTTGTTCTCGTTCGGTTGGTATGTATCAGTTGTTATTTTTTCTATTGATAAAACGTGAAGCAAAATCTTTGTTTTAATTTATTAATAAATATGTTTGTCTTGCTTTCAACATATTATTGAATTTATCTTGAAAACAAAATCAGTTTCATTCGAGAATATATAAATAGTCGATACTTTTTACGTACTTTAAAGAAAAATTAAACTGTGGGTGCAGTTTAATTAGACCGTTGAGTTATCGTTGCACTATTAAGTTTCGGATAAAGAAAAACTCTTATTTTCGATAATAATCATTCTACTCTATTGTTTCGTCGATCAGTTATTGTTATTTAAAGGTTTTACTTTAAGTTATCCAATATGCATGTTCTAGGGTCCATTGTTCAATAATTATCAATTTTTCCATAACTGCTACTGAGTGATATAGCTCTTCAATATCGCTAACTATGCAACTTACGAGAAGGCCACCAACTGTTCAATCGCTTTTGCTTTGAACTATTTACATTATGTAGTTCCCAAAGTGTTATGAATACACTGAAAAAAGTTTGGGCGGACAGCTTATTGTTATGACAGTAGGCCATTTTTACGATCTTTTTTTTTCTCATCGCCGTACTCCCCCTCAGGAACATTAGAAAAATTGATTTTCGACTCGAAACTTTACATAGAAATACGCCTTTACGAGAATAGTGTTTTATGAAAGTATTAGGTCTTTTGATTTGTTTGCTTCATCAATATGCTACTTTATTTGAAATATGTAAAATGCAAATTTTACGATAGCTGTGTCTGATGACGGAAACACCAGAAAGATGTGAAACGTTCACAAAAAGTCGTTCTTCTTGGGACGTCTTTTTATGTAAAGTTTCAAGTCGAAATTCAAAAACCAATTTTTTCAATGCTCCTCAGGGGGAGTTCAGACACTCACTAAAGCCAATACCTTACAAATGCCCTGTATTCGTAGCAATAAGCTATCCACCCAAAATATTTCAGCGTATTCATAACTCTTTGGGAACTACATAATGCAAATGGTTTCAAAGCAAAAGCGATTGAACAGTTGGTGACCTTCCCGGTTAGCATATTCGCTAAACATAATAGAATGCCATGCTTGTAAAATTCGTGCATGCGAAATATATTATTTTACATATAGTCGAGAAACAAATGTTTTCATTCATGCACGATGGAAAATAATAAAATAAGCGAATAAAGCGAATTGTAACGCTTGAAATGAATAAAACTAACAGAAGCAAATGCAGCAACACATAACATAGCTATAGAACGGATTCTCTGAAGAATCTGTAATAGAAGGTCACTCACAATAGAACGTCACCAAAAAATGAGCGATTCACTGGATCGTAATGAAAGGTCATGACTTTCAATTAACCCCTATCATACATTCGACAACATGTATATGGAGCATTCATTCCTTACTGAGAGCGGATCAGAATGGCTGGGAATACCCGAATAAGTTTTTTCCTCGTGGAATGCAAGTACGAGAAATATGAGTGAGGGTGATGGCAAGACAGAATAAGTTTTGGTTTTGATTGGAATTTAATCTGGGGCTCCAGAGTACATGTCGCTGAGAACTATCTGTCGTGGCATCTAAGCTGCGCATTTTTTCTTCCGTTATGAAAGCATCAATATTTATTTATAGTATGTTTTTAAAAAGATTCTGTTTTAACATAAATAAGTTTTAAATAAAATATTTTTAGGGCTTGACTATAAATTAACATATCAAGACAAATTAACTGCAAAAGTATTTGCTCATCTCATTTCAATGCCTGTTCAACTTAAATATCTTCTGGTTGAAAAATTTCAATGGCTTCTTCATGTTATAAAATATGTATGTATTGATTTTTAAGTTTTTAAATAAATAAATATATATATATATAAATTGTATGTACACATAATGTTCAGTATTTCTGTCTATTATCGGTTCAAAAGTAAAAGGTCAATCCATCACCATTGACTCTGTAACAGATACACGGATACAACGTACAATACTTTTTTGCAATGGCCACTAGTAATATATCTATATTTCACAATTGATTTTAGTACATGTATTTCAATAGACTAAGTGAATAATCAAATCTTTAAGAATTTTTAAACAATTAAATAAAACATTTTTCTTCATAGCATACTCTTACGCTATATAAGACTGTTTCCAAGATATTATTTATTATCGGATCAGATTTAATATGATCTTCTGAGAAAAAATATAAATGTATTTCGTAAAATATAGTACGTAGTACTTGTTTAATTAATCATAGAAAACGAACAAAATTTTATTCAATTTACGAATGAATTCGTTAAATTGTTAATCAGTCCTTCAATTCTTTTTTGAACACGAACGAAAAGGAGTGTTGAAGCGTATAGGGACAAAAATTTTCTTTCCTTTCCCGACGTCACCGACATCTTAGCAACGCATTCCTATCCTATCACAAATACCAGATATATCCAGAAAAACGAAGTTTACTGTGAGAACGACTGAATTAAAAATGTTTATCTTTTGCCTCCAGTTTCTATCGCGGCTCCTTGTAACATCTAGCGATCAAACATCTTTTGACACTGATACGGATTAATAGTATACATATAGTAATTCAAAAATCTGGTACACATGCTACTGAATTTCCTCATTTATACAATAAAAAGGCCTATCCTGTTGCACAGTGTAATCTCGAAGAGATTTGACTAACAAAATTTTTTTGTGGTAAATGTATTTATTGAAAGGAATATTGAATTAACAATCGAATTTAAAAAGAGAATAAATTAAATTCGATAAAATTAAAAAATAATATAATTTATTATTCTCATATAATTTATCGGCATCTAATCACTTACGAGAAAATGCGTTAAGTACTGTTCGACGACATGTTGAATTCAGTATTCCACGTTGTAATCATGGTTCAGATGAATCAATTGATATTGGTAAACGTCTTATACCATTTCTTAGTACTTATATGCCTCATTTACAAACATTACGTCTTTGGAGAAAAGACGATTTTCCTTGGACAACACGTAAGTGTTGTTTTTCATAAATGAAATATAATTACTCACAATTATTAAAAATGAGGAATCGCTCTTATTTTAATTCTTAATATCATGTCATTGAACTTAATTGATTAAATGGATATGTCCATAATAATCTTATGTTTACCATTCATGAAAGTAGGTTTTATTTTAATATGAATTATTTTTTCAGTATAAATATTTGTTTAAAATTTCTTAATGCAGTTCGCCGGGTGTGACAATAATTTTGCGACATTTTTTGTTTTGTATATATCTCCATTCAGGAACATAGTAAAAGTTTGATTTTTGTTTTCAACAGATATACCATTTCATACGCTATGCGAATTACAAAACAAAAGCTTCTTAGCTCTTTTTGAAATTTAAATAAGTCAATCCAGATGGAGATGCGTATTGTCGTTCTACTTCCAATTATAAAAGTATTGACAATTGAGAATATTGCCCTCAGCTGCGCATTAAATGAAAGCACGTAGTGCAGAAAAAGAAAAGGTAATCAATTTGCTGATATTTGATCAGCGATCAGTGAATACTTCTACTTGACGCCTTTTCTCCCATTTTCAATAGAACACAACAGTATCTCTTTGTATTGTTTTGTCCAATATTCTTTTAGGTTCATGATTTTTCTTTTTTTTCCAACTTCAGTCTAAGTATGATCTGAAAGTGTATGAATCAGCTACGTGTACAACAGGATCATTGTTTTTGAGCGTACTCCTGAATAGCATTACTAGAAAAACCCTTTCTTGATAAAAAGATTTCACAAATCCAGGACATCGAGCATACTGATTGAATATAAGATGCGTGAGAGATGTTAGAAGGCGCGAGTGAAACGTAGAGAGATGCCATATATCCTCTCAGCCATCATCCTCAGTAAGTCAGATGCATTGTGTCTTTCTCACCTACACCTGAGGGTGTGGCTTTGGAAGACTCACGTTATGTCCACTTTTTTCAAATGTTATACTCAAGAATGAACTGTAACTGATGTGGTACCTCAAATTTGTTATAATTGGAAGTAGAGAACGACAATACACGTCTTCCCTTGTATTGATTTATTTAAATTTCGAAAAGAGCTCAGAAGATTTTGTTTTGTAATTCTCATGGAGTATTAAACGGTGTGTTTTTTGAAAACAAAAATCAGGTTTTTACTATGTTTCTGAACGGAGATATATGCAAAACATAACAATGTTGCAAAAATTTTGTCAAATTCCGTACGATGAATGGAAATGTAGAATTTATCTGTCGTTATCATCTATTCTGGTAATATATAAAGCATGAAAGCTGAAATATTGTCGATAAAGATAATTTTTTCTTCAAATATTAGTAATTATCAAAGAAATACTATCTTGAGGGTGTGGGTGTGGATGTATATAAGCAAGACACACCCACACTAGACCTACGACAGCTCTCAGTTCTTGGAACCGATTCTTTTCAAAGAACTGTACCCAATACATAGTTCCTTTTCTGGAACTGTCGCCACATAACAGTTCTTTTTCGAGAACCATATCCTCCCAACAGTTCCGTTTCGGGAACCATATCCTCCGAACAGGTCTTTTTCGGGA